CTAGCATTGTTTAAGTGTATAGTCTATACATCCTTAAATACGTTTACTACATTTTCGTTGAATGACATTTCGCCCGGCCGAAACTTTCTGGCCACTCAAGGATTTAGGTAAACTCCGAAAGTTTCGTGGGTCACAGAATTAAGGTCGACACTTCACTCAAAGCCGAACGACAAAATCTAAATTGCCCACGGCACGAGAAAGCTTTCTCTTTCGCTTGTCTTGCATTGTACTCGCTTTAGATCGCTGGATCCTTTGGGCTTGCCGAGAAAGGAGTATAATTTAGTTAACACTGGTCGGTGTTTCCTACCCTAAACTAATACAGTGACAAGAGTTTTGATATTGATAGATCTCAAATCAATTATAACAATCATCGTAGTTCCTCGCATAAAATAAAACAAATATTTCTTGTACGTTTATATATCATGTCTTCTATTTTATTTCTTCGGGCACTTTTTCCTCTCGGTATACGTATATATTTTTCAATCCGCTTCTCATGCGGCTTGTCTGTGATTCTCCTTTTGGCTCACGAGCTCTAAGATTTCCAAACGGACATCGGAACGCGTCGACTGGGAAAAACGGTACTCCCGTTTATTGGAATCCGAGGAAATTATTGACCTCGTCGAGCGATCGTGCCGCCAGGTGAATACCAAAGCGGCAAAATTCCTGAAATCCTCACCGCTTTGACATTTGTACCGAAATCCATTCCCATCGTCGTTTTCAATGAACGTCAACCTCTTCCTATTTGAATAAATGTACGAAAGTGCTTTTCCGAGCTGCTTCTCTTCTTCTTCTCCTCTTTCTTGATAAAATATTTCCCTTCTTTCTTAGAGAACAGTATAAGGCGTGGTAGATTGAGGAAATATATTGAAATTAATATTTACGAATCAGAAAGCGAAATAAAAAAAAATTAGACAGCAAGTCTTTCTCGCGAAATTTTCTTTCATCTTAAAATCTGCATTGCAAATCACTAGAAGGATGCTGGCTGTGAAGGTAGAATTTACTAATTAGACGGTTCCCATTAAACAGGTATAACTTGAAAATGCGAAGTTCTATATGTCAATTTTTAAACGACAAGAAAACTCAATATTTGTTTTGCCTGTTATTCAGAAAGGTATCTAAGATAATAAAGAAAGTTCTGAAGAGGAGGAAGAAAATAGATTCGCGAACCTAACCCGCATGCGTTTCGTCGAACTTTACTTCCGCTTTACGGTTGCAATCAACAAAATGTTACACGAGTCGCAGATCGGCGTCCCATAAAAATGTTCAGTCTAGATATCCTTGAAATTTTGCTTCGCCTGCTTCGCGAAGGGTCAAAAGTGTTCTCCGACGAACGAATTTATCGAAATTTAAGACTTATAAAACAATTTCTGTCCATTCAATTTTTAAAATAATATGTACCCCTTATTTTTTATCGTATGTCGTTGAGCAATCATAAGTATAACTGTGAAACTTGATTCTACATTTTATTATTTTGTTACGACAAACTCTCTTTCTCTATCTCTTGTGTGAAGCTGCGTAAAAAAATTTCTATAAATCCGGGATGATCTCGGTTCCACAAATCTCGCGGAAGTGTAAACTTATCAAAAGCCCTTTTCTCATCCCCTCGCAATGCTCCGACAGAAGTAAACTCCCTCGTCTTCAGCAATTGTGCGATTAAGTCGACGCGAGATAAGAAATAATGCGATGGAGAATGAAGTTATCCGAACGACGAGCGAACGTCGTTACAGTCGCTGCGCGGACAATGAAACATAGTCCGGAAGCTTTCCCCTGTACAATTGTAATTATGTGAAGCCTCGGATCCCGCAGGAGCACGCGGTACAAACTGTGTCGAATTCATCTTCGGTTTGAAAGATAGCAGGAAATGAAGAGAGCAGCGTGGAACGCCCCGACGCAATGGGATCGTCTGAGATATTTTTTTCCTGGTGCCTCGAGCATTTATTTCTCTCTTCGAAAATACCGAGAATATTCTCAATTTGGAGCTGAGGACAATTACTGAGGATAACGAGGGAATAATTACGGGGGCACGAGCAGTTAAAATTAAATCGTTCGTTTACGTGTAAAAAGGTGCAACCTGTAAAGAAAAGCGAGTCCTCGGAATTCTCGGACTGGAATAATCCTGATATTTTAACTGTGTAATGTAATCGCGAAAGCTTAATAACCGCCTTGAAAATACCTTTCATTTAAATCGTAATAGCTTGAGAATTTAGTGAAAATTGTTTCTCGCAAAAGAATTATCAAGTCAATAAGTTATTATTCGTGTACTAATAAGTGTAAATCTTTTTAACTGAGGAAATTCATTATATATATCCGCTTACGGATCATTAACAAAGTTCGCACTGTATTATACACTATATTATCACACTTTAATCACTCCGCAAGTCGAAGATATATAACTTCCGCTCATTTAATCAAATTTGCGATGTACAATAAATTAGATTTAAATGCTAGCACTATGAGGATGTGTATTAACTTTTGTACGGAATCAAACTTTCGTTTCCGTAAGACGACGCAAAAGTTCGGAAACTTGTAAGAAGGACAGCAGAAAAGTAGTCGAACTAGCGCTCTGAGTGTTTCAGAGGCAACTCCAAGTAAATATAAATCGCTTTTCGGCAATGACTCTTTTAAATTGTTTCAAAGAAATTTCAATCACGAATTCCATAAATAAAATTAGCAATTTTTCTCTGAATCATTGTAGTATCAATTTAATGAAACTACTAGAGTTTGGATTTTAATAATCCTGTAATTTTAATTATTTGTTAAATGGTAGAGAAATCTTAATTTGAATGGGTATTAACTTCTGAACATTGAAGACGTCCTCTCCTCGCCCTTTGGATGAGAGAAACGATCAATCACTTCAGAGGAAAATAATTGATCATTTCACGCTATCGTGGCGCGATTCAAGAAGCTGGAAACAACGGAGCAGGCATCCCCTTCTGACCTGTTGGCGTTCCTTCGCCTAAAGTGACGTGTGAACAATAGAGACCCAGGGTTGGATCTGTCGATTCGTATACCCACCCAATGTCATCTTCTCTGGATCCTCCACGGTGTTCTTCCCCTCGGCGATCTTCCATCGTCTTGCATTTTTCATAGCGCGACGGGCTCGTGCGAAAATTCAGTCAGAGATCGTGACAAGTGTTTCCTGACCGATCGGATGTGCCGCAGAAATACTCTGGCGTGTTCGTCGAGCCATATACGCTCTTCAGATCAACGTTCCCGCGAGCGC